ACCCTCTGGATGCGACCATCCAGCCAGTTCCTTATCCACTGAACAGTCCACCCATCAAATCCGTACCCCTCCAATTTGGCAATCAGGATGTTGTGGGGGACCGTGTCAAAGGCCTTACAGAAATCCAGATAGATCACATCCATAGGTTGCCCCTTGTCTACTGACCAAGTCACTTTATCATAGAAGGCCACTAGGTTAGTCAGGCAGGACCTGCCCCTAGTAAAGCCATGTTGGCTGTCCTGGATCACCTCCCTAATAATGGGTGGAATGGAATATGTTTTCTGTGCCTTTTTCATCCTTTACTCCATTTTGGCTTTGCCCCAAATAGATGATACAGAACATAACCTCTTATGCTAAGGAAATAAATCTCATCCTAATTTTTGAATGGAGAGCATAACTGAGCTGTCTTTTGGATCATTCTGGTTTTTTTCATTGAAGAGGGGGAATATAGTCGGAGAGTGAAGACGATGAGAAAAGACATTAGAAAAGAAAGAATTTCAAAGCTGATTCCTTTATCTGAAGATCAGAATTGTATTTGAAATATTTGCTTTTGGAGAGTGCAAAAACCTCCACCCTAAAAAGATTTCTTCTTTGTCTAGCTTTGGATATTTTGGCAAAGAGCCCTTAAAAGAGGTGAAGCTATTGGTTTGCAGTATGGATGGATGCCTGACAAATGGTCGCATTTATGTGACAGAAGATGGGAAGGAAATGGTCTCCTATGATTATAGAGATCTTGTTGGTATCGATCTATTAAAGAAAAGAGGGATCCAGGTGAGTGTTGCTCTGAAGTGTGAGGCTTTTTTCGTGATGTAACTTGAACATTTAAACATTCTAAAACCCCTCAGGATAAAGGTTGAAGTTTCTTCAGAGTATGTGTGATCAAGTAGCATAATGCATTAGTTCAGGTTTGGGACAAATAGTGTTCTTAGATCCTTTACAGGGATACAAGTGTTTTGAGAAATTGCTCAGTCTCATTCAATCTTATTCTCTTTTTGTCCTGGAAAAACGTGCAAAGAAATTCTTACGGTGTTCTGCTAGCACCAGTCATAGTGTTCTGTGTAGTTTAGACACTCATTAATTACAAGTCAGCTTTATCAAGCAGGGATATGTTGTTACCTCTTGGATATAGAAGAGGAAGAAATACCCAGGCAAATTACTTGTTTCATCCTAGATCACCCATGATTGTTGCAAAGAGGGGAAATACCCCTCCCAACACTTTTTCTGTATGTTTGTTTCAACCATAACTTATGTGCTTTGGAATTGTAAGAATTCAGTGTAAATGAAAAACTGAAACAACACAGATTTTAACGTGGCTATTATTATTATTGATTATTATTTTGCTACTAAATTCTTCTGATCTGAATATTTGCTTGCGTTTATGTAAAATTAGCTTCCTGGCTACTTTCTGTCTGTGCTGCTGCCTTTGATATAGCAAGATGAATTTTGGGGGGTAAGAACTAAGTACAGATTTAGGCTGGCTTCAAAGAGCCTTAAATCAGCCCTGTTGCAGGTAGAGATAGGAATGGATAAATCAAAGGTAGCTGTACCCCAAGTAGACTTCTCCAGATGCATTTTTGGAGTTTCTATTGTAGAGGTTTTTTTATAACAGGTTAGATGAGACATTCATGACATACTTTGATGCAGCTGTTGCTGCCTTGGGACAGTGAAATGGAGTAGATGGTTTTTTTCAAAACTCCCTCAGCTTCGTTTTCTGTGAGGCAAAAGGGGAAGGAGCCTTGTAATCACTGTTTTGTTGCCTGTGGGAGCCCATTTCTATACTTGCTGTGGCTTGGAATCTTTCATTAAAAACCTCCTGGTCTTTGTGCTGCACTTCATCAGCAATATATACTAAAATACGTATACTCCTGCTTTGTGCACCACTCCTGTTCATTCTGTACTTAAAATTGTTGCCAAGTATCCATTAGTACTTGAAAGCAATTGGAGAAGACAAGCCTGTCCACGGCCTGGACTGAAAACCTGGAGGGATTGTGACAGATTTTTAACAATCCTGCTGCAATTATCTTCTTTTTAGCCTACATTCTACATAGTTTCTGAAATTTCAAATTTGGAATGAACTTTCAGAGGTTAATGTGCTATGTTCCTTCAGTGTATTTAGGGTTCCACTGATGCTCTGAAGTCCTACTGTAAGTAAAATGATGTTATTAGAAAGAGGATTAATGGAAAATACTTCATAATATTCTACTTCTACAAATATTACAGATATCTTCCTTGTGAATTCTCTTATTCCCTACTGTGGCTTAATTAGACCATATTTCACTAGATAGTCAGCATGCCACTGTATTTTACTTGGTATATGTTGCATTTAAAAAGACAAATGTAAATTTCTTTTTTACAAAGCCTAGAGAGCAGTGTTTCACTTTCCCAAAGCAGCTTCAAGACTTCGTTGTGGTTTGGGATATTAATCACTTCTGCTCCGAGTTTTTTATTTAAGAAACCAGTTATTCAATATTTTTCTGATACCTGAGAGAACTTGGCTTTATTTTAATAGGTTCGACTCCTCTCTGAAAGAGATTGTTCAAAAACTCTGTCAGCCATGCAACTGGGATGCGTAGCAAAAGTTAGCACAACAAATAAATTACAAGTCCTGGAGGATTGGCAAAAAGACATGGGTTTGAGCTGGAAAGAAGTCGCTTACTTGGGTCAGTTCCTTTTTCTTTTTTTTTTTTGGTAGTAAAATTTGTACAGCATACAACAAATACAAACTTCATGGTGCTACTCAGCTTCAGAACACTTTGCTCTTTGTTAATGCCCTGAGCTTAATGGGATTGATGTGCAAATTACAGCACACAATCACCCAAAGCAGATACGTATTTTAAGGCTTATTAGGGGACAGTCTAAATATTAAAGGCGTTAATGAATCAATATCTAATTTTGTAAGGGAAGTCTTAGCTGTTTTTATCATGAAACCTAGGAACGCTTTTTATACTACACAATCATGCAGTTACAGCTCGATTTTGAACTGATTCTAGTTCATTTCAGATAGATATTGTATAGATAGATATTGTATAGATTGAAACGGAAACAAGCACTGGACAGAATTAAAACTGAAAGCCATATGATTCTGTAGAAAAACTACATTTCAGTGGCAGCTGAAGTATATAGTCCTGCAAATGCTTATTCAGTTGTTGAAATAATGTTACTACTCTTAAAAGTACCATCCCCTTGCCTGAAGATTGTGTGAAGTGTGACCAGCGTTTACGTGTTATCAGTAAGATTTCCTGAGAACTGACTCGACGTGTGCTGAGTGCTGTTGAGCTGCTGAGCTGAAAATTATGGCAAGAATAATGAAAAAAAAAAAAATAGATTGGTATGTACACAGGAAAATCTTTTGCCTTGTCTGTCATCTTCCTCAATAGGAAATGAAGAGTCTGACGTGGAATGCTTGAAGAAAGCTGGCATGAGTGGTGTGCCCGCTGACGCCTGTACAGTTGCTCAGAAGGCTGCTGGTTATATTTGTAAAAGCAATGGTGGCTGTGGAGCCATCCGGGAGTTTGCAGAACACATCTTCCTCTTGTTAGAAAAAGTGAACTCTGCAAGAAAGCAAATGGAAGAAACCAGTTCAGCAGGAAAGAAAACGGAGGGAAATGAGAACGGCAGAAGAGGAAATAAGGAACTCATGAAAAAAGTGTAACGCGGTTGGTCAGTCCTGCTGTTCTTCTCTTCTCCCTCTGCCAGTAAGTCTGTGTCCCAAAGAATAGCTTATCTTTTAAGTTTTACATTGCAGTAGAGTTAAAAAGGTGTTTTCCTCTAATTTAACATCCCACTTTGATTAAGTGCTGATATTCACGATTGTATGCTGATAATCATGAATATGATCATGATTATTTTAAAAGCCGTCTAAACACAATGGAAGGAATGCTACAAAAGGTAGTGTCCTGTAAATCTACTCTTAATCATTACACCTGTCCTACAGGAATGATGTTTCTTGATTTGATAATTGGAATATTTTCAGGGATCAGTAATTTTGCATGATTCGAAGATTTGTAATTCAGACTTTCAAAAAAAAAAAATACTCTGTCAATTTTGCTTATTTGGTTTACATTTCCTGTATCAGATGTCAGCATGATGTTGTAGTTGGGTGCTAGCTTTTTACAGGATTTGTCCCTAGTAAGGAAGAGTTTTAGCATATGCTGGAGATGTCAGGTATAAAATAACTATTAAACTTCTTCCAGTATTTTTAAAAGACAGCTAGCTCAGTTACTGTAAAGCCAGTTGATATTAGTACAAGTTAAGAAAAGCACTTAAGCATGTGGTCAATTTTAAGCTCATAAATAATTAAATGGCATCTGAAATTGTGCCTCTTTGAATCTGTTTATATTGGGTTTTATTAAAGTGCTTAAATTAACATACCCAAATGCTTTGCCATATTTGACAACTTTACTTAGCAGAAACTCTGTTTCTTTCTATGAAGGCTTTATTACAACAACTAATAAGTTAAAAAAAAAAATTAAAATCTCTCATATTTATTGTATGGAAAAGTAGCTACTGTTGAAAACAACAAAATGTAGTTGTTGATTGTGGGTTTATATAAAATATACATTCAGATTATTTTTAGCATGTTAATTTACAGCTGATGTATATGTGTGTTTGTATTTATGGAAAATACAATTTTTACCGTGTCTTGATTTAAAAAATTCAGTATCTGTAAAATTTTTTAAAACTGACATGAAAAATATACATTGGTTTTCGATCCCAGTATTTCTCAGTGAGTCAAGTTCTGCGTTGGGTTATGCTAAAAAATAAAAAAATACCTGTGGCATACAGGTAATGAATACAGAGGTGAATAATAATGCTTTGTCATTTTATTTTGTCTCTCTGCTCAATAGACACTCCCAGTAGAATCTCACCTGGTGTATTGCCCTCTGATAAAGTTTTTGTTTAGTACTTGGTACACAGGTGATTACTACTGAGCTGAACAATAATGGCTTGTCATTTTATTTTGTTTCTCTGCTAAACAGACACTCCCAATGTAATATCACCCGATATCACTCCTTTATGACTTTGTGTTTGCTTCCTTTTCCAAAGCAAAATTTAAAACTGGAATTATTTTACCGCCCATGTACAGTAATAAGGTTAACTGGTGAATAGTTTACTGTACTAATCAGCTCTAATCAATTGTTTGAGTATTTCCTTTCAGTGAGGTTTTAGGGTTCTGTGCTAGATAAGTCCCATGGACTTTGGTAACAGGAGAGCCACATTTTGGAGAGAGCTACAGACTTTGATATAAGTAGATTAATTATTTTAGTTATATAGTCTATGTGGTAAAGCTTCAGAAGTCCAGATTGGATGAACAATTCAGGTTTGATTGTGTCATGTAGAGTAAAAAGGCCACGTTTTTGGTTACTTCACTTAGTCATCATCAAGGAATTTGCTGACTTTGATTTTAAGAACAGTTTCCTGTAAGTAGATTAGGTTAAATAAGGTGACTGTGATGAACTTGATTTCCATTCCTTTTATGTTAGAGAAAGCAAAAATATGGGTAAGTGCAATTACAATAGCAACATGAGTTGGCAGTACTGTTTGTAGCTTATTGTTTCAATCAAGAACTCTTCTAATGTTTCACCTGCTTCCTGAATGTGCTGCATGTACATTGGGTCTCTGCCCAAAATTTCTGCATGTATCAAAAATATAGGCAGAAGCACTTCTGTGAGCATTGGTAACAAGCAGAAAGGAATGGTAGCTGATACGTTAAGTCTTTTCCCTTTGACAGATTCTTATTTAGAAAAGCATGGTATAATCTTAAATTGGATATATAGGAAGCATATGAGGGATAAAAGAGCTCTAGAGACTGTTTATTATTATTTAGAGACTTTAATTATTTAGAGACTATTATTATTTAGAGACTTTAAATGAAGCCTGTTTGAGGATATGAGAGATGCATGAAAGGTTCAGCTTTGTATTGCCTAAAGCTCAAGGGAACACCTAACTATAAAGTAGAGTAACATGAGGGATGTCTTGATTTTATAGAAGATCCTCAGTCATATGAAGGATTTAGGGGTCACAGGGGCAGAGATAACGAGGATAACTAACAGTTACCTTAAAGGAGAAATCCTAGGTCCCTGGCAAACTTCAAAAGTGTAGTATCTTTGACCAATACCTTTTGTTTCAGTACATACCCTGGCACCATGATTGCCTTTCATTGGAGGTGTTTAGTTCACTCAAACTAGATTTCAGTGGTTGTTTTTGTTATACTGAGCTAATTTTGGAATGTGAGCGCTTATTTTTTTACTTTAAACTGCCAAGTATACTCCAGAAAAGATCTTAGATAATGTGGGCTATTTTATCATAATTTTGTCAAACTGAAAGAAGGAAACTATGTAATAATTTTTAATAAGCTGTTATGAAAAAAGAGCTGATTACCTGAAATTTGAAATAAAGTTTTAAATAAAACTTCTGAGTAGAGAATGGTTCTGGGGTGACTTGTGATGATTTTGTATGCTATAATCATACACTTCCAAGTTCATGTGCCACAGGAATGGATCGTACCTGATGAAGGCAGACAAATTTAATGCCCAGCTTAATCACATGCACACAGTTAGTTACTGAATCAGTTACTGAAAAATCTTCATCTTGATCTGGTCTGGGGGGCAAATCTTGAGTGTTTTGTGTGGCTGGTTATACTCTCTTAAATAAACTTCTTCACTTGCCTTTGTTGCATGTTTTCAAACAGCTGGTTTTACAGCGCTGTGTGCTTTGTGCCTGTGTTTGTGAAAAGATGGGATTCATCTCTCTGTTTTTGAGCTGTCAAAGCCAACCCAGTATTTCTGTAGAAGGATAATCTTGTAAATTGAGCAGAACATCTTGAGAATTACTTGGCAGGATGTTCTCAGAAAGAGCTCCCATTTGGATTAGGCCTTGAGATCTCTACTGCATTTGGCTCTGTAATGGCTTTTGCCAGGATTGTTGAAGAGAGGGGAGGAGAGACAGTAGTGCATTGTCATTGCATTTGCTAACTTTGGCACAAGGGCAGGGGTTAGCTCTTCACCTACTTCTGACTCCATTAATTTATTTTTATCTGATCTTTGTCCTATTCAGTGTATCTCACTGTCCAGTTCTTTGCTATTTCTTGTAGGGTGATCCAATGTGTCCTGACCTTAGTTCATTTCAAATCAATATGAATCATATAGAACTTGGCCTTCTGAGATCAGAGATATTTTCTAATACTTTATAATTTCAAGTTCAAGTACTTTTAAACTTTGAGCACACATAGTTAACTAGCTTTACCAGAGCCCAGGTGGGAAGGTTTTTAAAAAAAAAAATTATATTTTTAATTAGTATTCTCTTAAAACACTATTTCCTGTTTCCAGAAATAACTCCAAATGAGACTAGTTGCACCCAGCAGGACTAATTATCCTAAATGTCAGCGGTATAAGAGCAATAATCAGGTATGTCTGTGGAAGAAAACCACTTACGCGTGAACCTGTTGCATAGGTGAGTTAGAAAAACTTGTCACTAATGCACTTTTCTGAAAAATCCTTCAATGGTAGGTTTGTTTCTCATTCTTAGACAGTTTTGCCTATCCCCATTTCTGATCCCAGATACATTTATGCATGTGGTTCTGCTTTCATAGAGCTTACCATTGCTAGAGGTGCTGGAGGAAAGAGAAGCACTTGGGAGCAGTCCTGTTCTATAGCTGTTTCCCCCACCTCTGTAGCATTACAGACTGCTTCCCCCTGAAAGGGTTGCCTTTATTTTCTTTTTGCAGAATTTTTTAATTGTTAAAATGTGTTACAGGGAATAAGCAGTGAGCAGTATGGAGGCAACAATACCAGATTATCCAGGTTAATAAAGAGCAGGGCTGATGAAAGTGAATAGATATTGTGTGAACTGGCGCAGGCAGGACCCAGGAATAACCACAAAAACATGGATGAAATACAAAGAGTAAATTATGTCATAATATATTTCCATTTCTACTGACCAATCCTAATCCAGAAAAATATATGTTGGTTTGAAGTGCGTGCAAGCACTTTGCAAGAAGCAAACTGAGATTTAGGAAGTATTAGGAAAAGTGCATAGAACAAAAAGGATAAAAGTAATTATTCCACTGTATAAATCAGTGATTTGCATGTATCATGAATAATGCCTGGTTTGTTTCTTACACGTTAAAAAGACTGTAGCACTCGTAAAAGGTTTGTGGGAGGATAAAATGGATGTTCAAAGAAATCAGGTCCAGTGTACACAACCAGCCAAGTAAGAATTCTTCACTTTGGAAGAAGGATGACCCAAGGGAGTTGTGTTAGGTGTCTGTAAGACTGAGAGGGAGAGGGATCTAGGGAAAGACCACTGAAGAAACTAGCAGAGACCAAAAGCAAGCAGATGGCTGAGGGATCTAATTTGCCGTGTGATATTTGGCAGTTGCTTTCCAGCTTTCCTGTGGCCTCAAAACATTTGCAGCTCATGGATTTCCAAAGCTGGACATGGCTTACAGACATTGAATAAACCTCAGTGCAATTAAAACAGCCTTTGTTCCGTGATTCTGACACCTGATGTGGCTCCTCTGTGGTTCTGAACCTGGGTATCTTCCTCTTGTTTCTTGTATGGGATATACCCGAGCGCATTTTTATCCGTATTTCATGGTATATATCAGTGGTTCATTCTAAAATATCAATGTGTAGCTTTCACAGAATCACAGAATTGTGGTGGTTGGAAGGGACCTCAGAGATCATCGAGTCCAACCACAAAAAAAAAAAAAAA